GAGAGGTGACTGCCATTCCAAGCTTTGCTCAATGATGATCCGTAGAGTGGCGATTTGATTAATACATGACTTGTTTCTCCCGAATCCAGCTTGTTCCGGTCGGAGTTTTGCATCCAGGGCGTGTTTGATTCTCTCCAGGATGATGCGGCTTAGTATTTTGCTTGGGATGGACAGGAGCATAATTCCACGCCAGTTTTTGCATTGACTTAAGTCTCCTTTCTTTGGTAGTTTGAATAAGTATCCTTTCTTCCAATCCTCAGGTACTTTGCCCTTTTTCCACATCTTCTCCATCAGTGGCGTCATCAACTCCGCTGTTTTCTCTGGGTCTATATTCACTTGTCACTTATCCTTACTCCTATCGTACAAGTTGAGATTCTACATATTGTCAATTTCGATTCTCCTAAAAATGTTCTATGAGAACATCTGTGTAGTCCCTATGAATTTATTTTTGTCATAACCTATTTTCAGACACCTTTGTTCTCACTTTTTCTATCAGTTGTTTCCAAAATGACTACTCATTATGTCACTAATTAGTTATCAGTAGTCTTGATAACAACGTAAGGTTATACATGATTTTTCATACATTGTTATTACTTATCCGATTCGATAGTGTGAAATATTCCCATATTATAAACTAAAAGTCATTCTGAACGAAGAAAATTCTTCGTCTTCTTCAGGTTCTTACAAATATAAAATATAATATACTTGTTGTCGTTACAACAAAGATCAGGTATGCGGCGGTTACATTTTTTAACGTGGAATAACAGATTAGCAGTTATGGGGTGTCAAAATAAATAGCCGTATCTGTGTGACAAACGTGCTAGTTGGCTGAAATCGATTACAAAATATTGTAAAATAGGAGGCAATGGTGGTGATTAATCATAATAGATTTGTAGAGTGTGGAGTAGGAAAATTGACAAGTCAGTTCAAGGTTATAAAAGATGTCAGGTGAGTGAGTGGCTAGTACAAAGTGGTTTGTGTTAAACAGGCGATAGTAACACTCCAATGAGAGGTTCATAATGAGATAACGAATATGTGAAATGAAACAGGTGGAGGCATATATTGAGAAAAGAGATAATATCACTAATAATAATAATAATAAGTCCGGATAGTATAAATAAAAAATTCAATAGTATTGAGGAAATGTTTGCATGAAGGGCATAAATTATGACGAATAATAATAGTCATAATAATAATAATTGCAATAATAATATTTGTAATAATAAGCAAAGGAGAAATAAGCAAGAGGGTTAAGGGGAAGGAGTACTCTTGGTGAGAAGAATTGTTATTATTATTATTCTTTATAATTTATGCCCTTCATGCAAACATTCCCTCAATACTATTGAATTTTTCATTTATACTATCCGAACTTATTATTAGTGATATTATCTCTTTTCTCAATATATGCCTCCACCTGTTTCATTTCACATATTCGTTACTTCATTATGAACCTCTCATTGGAGTGTTACTATCTCCTGTCTAACACAGACCACTTTGTACTAGCCACTCACTCACCTGACATCTTTTATAACCTTGAACTGACTTGTCAGTTTTTCCTAAAACTCAGTCTACAAATTTATTATGCCTAATCACCACCATTGTCTCCCACTTTACAATACTTTGTAATCGATTTCAGCCAACTAGCACGTTTGTCACACAGATACGGCAATTTATTTTGACACCCCATAACTACTAATCTGTTATTCCACGTTAAAAAATGTATCCGCCGCATACCTGGCCTTTATTGTAACGACAACAAGTATATTGTATTTTATATTTGTAAGAACCTGAAGAAGACGAAGAATATTGTTCGTTCAGATTGACTTTTAATTCATATTACTTATAAGCTTGAATTTTTTGTTACCATCTCACGACAACAAACTTGACATGTCTGTTGTCAATTCGCAGTGTATATACAAACCCGTAGATAACCAACTAACTGTAAAGCTTTGAGATGTGGAGTTTTGAAAAGAGATCTTTATTTTATGTGACAAATATCTTTTTAGGTATAATGGGGAAGATTTCTATCTCAGGTGTAGTTGTGTTCTCTGAGCTGGTTGGATGTTTTACCTGCTAACCTTTCACATTGCCTTACTACTAGGTAACATCTTCAGAGCATATTTCGGCTTGTTGATATAAGCCTTTGATGATTCTTCACGAGGTTATTAGTCATCCCTTCTGGTCACCTTCAAAGTGACTGGTCCCTTTTGTCAGTTTCCACACCCTCTAGTTTACTTTTTTGTTCGTATTGATTGTTTCCTTGACCCGAAGTTTGACCTTTTGTGTATGAGATTTCCTTTTCATAGACTGGTAAATTTTGTTTAAGCCAATTTGTCCATTGATTGCTAATTCACTGGAATACCAGTGAATTCTGGGAACCTCCTGGAGTCCTTGTTGTTCCCCTTTGTCTGATATTTAAATTTTATCCCAATCGAATTTGATGTCCATAGCTGTATGTATGTATGGGGTGATATGAAGGGGTGGATATCATGTCTTTTGACGGCTATTTTATGTCCATGGATGCGAAGACGGAGAAAAAAGTCGTATACTTTGGTCATTGCCTTGACTTGTCTTGTCTTACGTAAAAAGTCAGCCTGAATAACATAGAATATTCCTTCTAGGGCGAATTCCTCCCTTTAAGTCCTTACAGTTATAGAGAAGACTGTTTAAGAAATTTGACTACAGTGTGTGATCATTAGGTGACATCGGTTAGAGAACCACTGGAAAACGGACACGGAATTGTGAACAGATAGATGTTTCCTCAGCCTAGTTTGGTACTCTACTTCAATACCAGGGTGTACCAATCAGGATTTGAACTCAAGGCCTTCCAATTCAATGTGTTTTGAGCACATAGGCCATACAACCATTGACAGCCATTCAATTTAATGGCCAATCGATGAATTCCAACTTCTGCCATTTCGCGACATGCAGTGCAACCAACCCAAGAGTGCGTCGGTGAGACAGCGGTTAGGACACCCACATGGTCCGAGGTTTGATCCCCGGCTGACCGACACACTCCTTTACCTCGCTAAGCCAGTAATAAAGCTGGTACTAACAGCTGTACTAACAATGTTAGGTTTACATTTGAAGGCGACTGTTTCCGCCAAGTTGATGGTGTTGCTATGGGCAGTCCGTTAGGGCCCCTTTTAGCAGATATTTATATGTCGTACATTGAGAATTTATCGGAAGATTTAATCGAAAATGTGCCACTTTATAGAAGGTATGTAGATGATATCGTAGTCATCAGTGATAAGCCTTGTTCTGCCACCTCAATTTTAAATCGAATGAATGAAGTTCAGAATAGCATATCACTTACATCTGTAGAAGAGGAAGATAATTGTTTATCTTTCCTAGACATATTGCTTAGTCGACGGCTTGATGGGTCAATAAAAAGATCTATTTATAGAAAACCTACCTGGACAGGACAGTATCTTAATTACCACAGTTTCTGCCCTATTCGGTACAAAAGAGGCTTAGTAAGGTGCCTCTTCAGTAGAATCCGACGAATATGCACTGAAGACACGCTTGATGAAGAAGAAAGAATATTGACACAAACTCTGGTTGATAACAATTATCCAGAAAAGTTCATCAGGAGATATAAAGTAGTCAGAACACCAAGACCCACTCTCCAACTCGCCCCTAAGAAAGACGTGTACATCAAGCTACCCTATATGGGACATCAAAGCAGCTTGATAACTAGACAAAGGCTGAACGCTGCTGTTAAAAAGACTTTTTATGCAGCTAATATCATAATATTAGAGAATGTAAAGCCATTATATCTATCTAAGCCCTTCGAACATGCGAAAAATGACGTCACATCCCACTGTATTTACCAATTTGAATGTACGTGTGGACACACATACATAGGGAGGACTCATCGATCTCTGCAAGTAAGGGCTTCAGAGCATATTCCAAAATGGCTCCAGAAACAAATGGAATCATCAGAACCTATTAACGGTGAGAACAGGAGACCTAGCTCTTCTATTGCGAAACATATTATAGAGACAGGTCATAAAATTGATGTTAACAGATCTTTTAAACCTATCTATAAAACGTGTTTGGGGCGTATCCTAAAGTTTGTAGAAGCCCTAGCAATTAGAAAGTTCAAGCCACCTTTATGCGTTCAAAAACAATTTGTCATCACATTAAACCTTCCTTGGTAAATTTTGTTTTGATACCATAGCAGATGTACTATTACCTCTGCTATTTGGTTTAGTGGTCTTCATTTTTATTTTTTGACCTTGAATATGTCCTTTTAACTTGACCTAAGTCTATTTTTCTCACCTCTTACCTCTTTATTAATTTTTTATATATATATTCCTATGACAAGTCCGTGTGTGATCAGATTGTTCGAAATGTGTTGCGCAAATACATTACACGATTCAGACAAATTACGTCTTCTTATTGCTTTATCTAAATTCATAAAGGGAACTAATTGTTTTAAAAGAGAGAGTTAGTTAGGCATGAGGCTAGCAACCCCATCCTGTAAAAATAATCACCACTGCTACAGAAACTTCAAGCCTTTAGCTTGAAGCTCTATCTTCCAGCACTGGGAACGTGAACAAATAAAGGAGGAGAAGAAGAAGAACCTCAGATGGCGCCTATTGCGAAAGTGTTGCAAACTAGGGTGAAACAGCAATTATCTAGTACTGTCCTCACTGCTTTTCCAATGTTTCTCCAAATGATTTGAGCTTACAATGAAGCCTCCAAACAATTAAACCACTGCAAGTCAACAGATGCAAAATGGACATGAGATATTTAAACCCTTAAATTAACTGTACAGCTTTGAAAGGAGGTTACGAATACGCAACGGATCACTTTGACAGCTTGCGGGTTTTCCTAATCTTAGATAAACAAACAGCAGACGACAAAGTTATGCTTGTACTACCACTGAATATTTTCTATTTTCCTATGCTAAAATGTAACGCAAAATTTGAAAAATCTATCCATTGAATATTGAACGCATTAAATTCTTTAAAAATATAATCAAAAACACTTACCACCTTTTGGTTTCCTTTTTAAACTTGTTAGTACAAAATCAAATTCAGGCATATATTCTTCAATTTTATCTGGATGACCAATATTACTAGTACCAGTTGCATTCGTATTTATTATACTGTTCTCACTACCTGGAAATTTTCCACGTTTTTGACGAGTATTCAGTGTTTTCTGTAATGAGGTATTACTTGAATTTCCATGGAATTGTGATGCTTCACGACGTGTTTTAATATTCTCTAACAGGTCTGGTTTCATTTGTGGTGATGCTATTACCATACGAATAATAAGACGTGGATGATAGATGACAATATCTCGAGCGTGTCCATGATTATTGATTAGCTTTACTGTGTCAACAACTTTATCACAGAATCGTGTAACTTTTGGACATGGTGGTACAAACTGGGATATAGTTTTCCCACTGTACACTTCAAAGAATGTATGCTTTCCGTCAACAATTGAAGCAGGATCTTGTAGAGACAACTTGTCAAGACCTGATTCTCCACCTACGAAAAAAACATTTAAAGGTGGGAAATTAGAGAAAAGGAATAGAAAAGATTTTAATGACATGGTTTTGAAAAGAATCCGTAAATTTAATTGGTGGATGGTGACTAGCAGTGAAATCCTGGATGAGCATTTCATCCTATTTGGGAGTTGTCAGCTACCTGGATGTACCTGCATTTCTCAGTGAGTGATGATGATGCTCTCAAATCGTCGAAGCATCTGCACAAAAAAAGCCAACGGGACATGTCAACCTTAGACCGAGCACTTCGGTTCAATCAATCGACGGGTAAACCTCAAATTCAATTAAATAATTAATATGACCCGTTGCAGAAGAGGTGGCTCTCGTGGCCCATGTGGTTTAGTTGATAACACTTTGGCGTTTGAAACTATGGGCACTGGGTTCGAGCCTCGATGGGAACATCATCATTCATTGGGAGATACAGGTACATCCAACTGAGAGACGAATCCTGAATAGGATGAAATGCGCATCCTGGATTCCACTACTAGTCACCATCCACCAATTAAATACTAATTAAATGTCCAGACGTCGTCGAAGCATTTGCACAAGAAGCCAACGGGATATGTCAACCTTAGACCGAATACTTCGGTCCAATCAATCGACAAAAAAATCTAAAATTCAATTAAAATTGTATGAACTGTGATCAATATTTAACCTCAAACTTTCAAAAATTAGCCTGCTTTTTGTTAAACACTTTAAACAGAGTGTACTTTTCATCAGATTAGGTTCGACTAAAAGTTCATCGTCGTAGATAACTGAATACGAAGAATAGATGTGCATGTTTATGCAGTATACAATGGTGTGCGCCTGTGTTTGTGTGCATGGGTAGACAGTTGTAAGACATTTGTTAACTTTTCCATAAGAAGCTATAGACAATCGGAAATTTCGACCAGGTATGATTAATTAGTGATGCATATCCATTTTTTATTTATTAAACAGGATTTGCTATGCATCATCTAACACCTCTACGTCTGTTGGGATTCAACCATATATGTCAGTCAGTCTTTGTTTATTATACGAAGCGAAAGCTTCATATAGGACCTCAGTCCTATCAAAATCGATTTTGTACCCCGTTTCTGTCAAGTGCAATGCAATCACTGATCCCTTTTTCTAGCTTCTCTATATCTACAGTGGTCTTTAGAACCACCTTTAGACATTGTTTATGCAACTTCACACTTATATATTTACCTGTCTAGAAGTTTCTGCGTCGGTGGCACAGTGGTTAGGACTCTCACCGACCATGCACATGGGTCCGGGGTTCGAGCCTACGCCGACGCACACCTGATATCTATGGTTGGCCTGCGAATTTTGGGCTACCGATATGCACGCTGAAAATTCCACACTTGTACCAAAAATACGGTGTGGAATCAAGCTGTAACCAATAAATAAATTTAAAGAAAATATCCAGCAGATTGATAGTCCCCACAGTTGATCTGGTGCATACAATTCTGTTGGTTTTCTTCTCCTATTTTATTCTTAACCTTCGCTAATGGTGGTAAGCGTAAAGAGTGTTAGTTGTACACGAAAATATGTTGTCATGATCGCTAAGGATTCGCTTAATCTCATTTGATGTTTCTCTGCGGTAAAGAATCACCGATGTACTAACCTAGATTTTAGCAACAGGTTTCAATCCATCCTTATCTTCACATTTTAAATATCCTTTTTATGAAGTCTTTAGGATAATTATTTGATTCAAGAGTGGATTGAACCTGCTTATTATCCATTTCTTCTCAATCACTAGATGTTTGGCTGTGTTAATCAAGCAGCCTTCAGTTTATTCAATGTCATGCTGAATTTGTCAGCCGACTTGACAGTTGCTACAGACGAAAAGAAGTTAGAAAACAGACCAGCGATTGCGCACTGTACTCGATAGAAACGGGATACAAAATCGACTTCGATAGGACTTAGGTCTTACAGAAAACTTTTGGTTCGTATAACGTAAGACTGACTGACTGAGGAAGCCCTACATATATACATGGGTGAATCCCAACAATTTGAATAGACATAAAGGTGTGATCTTCTTAGCTGATGTATAGCAAATCCTGATTAATAAATAAAAAAAATTGACATGTATCACTCATTAATCATACTTGGACTAACTAAATTCCCAAATGTCCTCCAAAATTTTCTGATTTGGGGGGGAAGATTTCCATTAAATTGCTGAAATATGATATTTTTAAAGGTATTTTTATGTCTAAAGACTATCTGGACATTATCACTTACCATCTACTCTGTTCTCTTCGTTTTTCCCTGGACCAAAAACAATAGGTTCACCAATTAAGCATTTTTGAAGTTGTTGTTTTGTGTATGGTTTTTCTGGTTTACAACTCCAAGCTGCTGCCGGTGGAACTTTTACATGATCAATATGTAACATTATCTAATAGGGTAAATGAAACATTATAGGAAGGGAATTTATGCGAATATATATATATATATATGCATACACAAATAGAAATTCTAGAAAATATTAATATATGCGTAAAACTTGGCACCGTGATAGTAAGTAATTCCATATTAGTTTGTTTATTAGATGTATCACACAGTGAGTGAAACAGTATTATTATATACTGGATGACACAGTTTCGAACACAATTCATCATTGTTCATAATCATGCCATCAATTATAATCACACGACTTCGGAACTTGAATTTTATAGTTTCCTTTGTCTTCTCCTATTGGTCACCGTTGGGGTAGTAGAATTTTCCAGATATCCACCTGTACAGGTGATGAATCATTCCTGTTACACGTATTCTCCTCAGTTGATTCGATAAACAAAGCCTCAGTCAGTTATCAATCTCTCCCTCCATCCTGCAGTTACATTAGATTTTAAAACTGCCATCTTATCCTATCCCATCCTGTTGTATGATTGTGTGCGATTGCATGTAATGAGTGCTTTAGCCGACCTTTTCTCTAGATTTCTTATCTTAATCCGGTCAACTAATCTAGATTTTCTAAGTTTTTATGTTCGGCTAGTCTGACTGCCCCTGTTCTACTGGTTCGACCTATGTATTTGACCTCACTGACAACCATTCCAGCAGGGTATTTGGATAAACTAAGTTGTCTTGTTTAATTGGCTCCACTGACAGGACCTTTTAACCGACAAAGCTTGTTTCCAATTGAGTTTGTGGGTTTGAATGCCACTTTTATTCCTTATCGTCGGTATCGTCATTAATAATAATAATAATGACGATACCAACAATAAGGAATCTAAATCATCAGTATTAATTCCATACATGGATTGAACCTAGGAAGCCTTACGCAGAATTCTCAACAAGGCAGGTATAAAAGTGGCTGGCATTTAAGCGCCCCAGAAACTCAATTAGGAACAAGCTTTGTTGCTAGACGATCAATCCTGTGGAGCCTTTAAAACAAAACAATTAAGTTTATCTAATACCCTGCTGCTGCAATGATTGTCATGTCAAATATATGTAGGTGAAACTAGTAGAACAGGGGCAGTTAGACTAGCCGAATATAAAAAACTAGCAAAATCTAGATTAGTTAACCCCAATGATATGAGCAATCTGGACAAGAGTTCAGCTATAGCACTACATCACATGCAGTTACACACAACCATACAATAGACTAGATGGGATAGGGTGATAGTTCTAAAATCGATTGTAACAGTGGGGTGGAGGAAGAGATTGACAACATAAGCCTTGTTTATCGAATCAACTGAGGAGAATCCGTGTAATAGGAATGATTCAACACCTGTCCACCCAGATATCTGGAAAATTCTACTACCCCAACGGCGACCAATAGGCGAAGGCAAAGGAAACTATAAAATTCAAGTTTCGAAGTTGTGTGATTATAATTGATGGCATGATTATGAACAAGGATGAATTGTGTTCGAAACTGTGTCATCCAGTAAATAATAGTACTGTTTCACTCACTGTGTGATACACCTAATAAAAAAACTAATATATGGAATTTTAGAAAATACAAACGATAGTCAATGATCTTTTCATGAATACATTTGAAGAGAACATCTTTCCAAACATCATAAAGCTTAAAAAAATATATGGCTGAAATACACGTTGACGATACTTTCTTTCGTTGTGCTAAAAAGAGATCTACACAATTCATTTTTTGAAGAAAATTTCGCCAAACATTCCAGCGTAATTTGGAAGCAGGCGAAATTAGACTTCGGTGACCCTGCCATTTCTAGACTGTCTAATTTAAGAGGAGAGAAAACGAATGTTTTAATGTATATATATATATATATGTATATATATATATATGTATATATATATATATATATATCTACATTCAGAAAGAAAATACACTCCAACAACTAATATTCACACTTCAGATCATCACATCTCATCAGTACAAAGATATCAGTTGTTTTGAAGTCTTCTTAGATGTGCACACTCTTTGATGTTAACAGATGAGAAGGCAACAAGAGAAGAAGACGAAATAACAAAACATCACTAAAATTTAAAACACTTAGTTCCCCTTAATGAATTTAGACAAATCAATAAGACGTAATTTGTCTGCCTGAATCATGTAATGTTGTATTTGCGCAACACACATTTCGAACAATCCGATCATACGCCTGGACTTGTCATAGGAATATATAAGAAAAATAATAAAAAGTTAATTGGTGAGAAAATAGGCACAGGTCAAGTTAAAAGGCCACCATATCGAAGGTCATAATAACAATGAAGATCAGTTGTCAGTTAACCAAATAACAAAAGTAGTAGTAATACATCTACACTGGCTAGTAACAAAACAAAGTTTGCCAAGGAAGGTGGTTTAGTGTGATGACAAATTGTTGATTTGAACGCATAAAGGTGGTTTCTAGGGATTCTTCAAACTTTAGGATGTGCCCTCCACCAAAAACGTTTTATAGATAGGTTTAAAAGATCTGTTAACGTCAGTTTTATGTCCTGTCTCCTCTATAATATGTTTTGCAATGGAGGAACTGGGTCTTCTGTTCTCACTCTTAATGGGTCCTGAAGATTCTATTTGCTTTTGGAGCTATTAAGGAATATGCTCTGAAGCCCTTACTTGCAGAGATCGATGAGTCCTTCCTATGTATGTGTGTCCACACGTTCATTCAATTTGATAAATACAGTGGTGAGAACAGGAGACCCAGATCCTGTATTGTGAACCACATTACAGAGACAGGACATAAAATTGACGTTAACAGATCTTTTAAACCTATCTATAAAACGTATTTGGTGGAGGGAGTATCCTAAAGCTTTTGGAAGTTTTAGCTAGCAGTTAGGAAGTTTAAACAACCTTTATGCGTTCAAATCAGCAATTCGTCATCACATTGAACCACCTTCCTTGGTAAACTTTGTTTTGGTACTAGCCAGGATAGGTGTACTATTACCTCTGTTATCGGAAGAGGAGTGCTCAGTGAGTGCAATATGACACTGTTTCCTATGTTCAAAACATCAGACACACACACACTGAAAGGCAACCTTTTCCATGTAAAAGACCGAAATCCGATGGATTCTCAATCTAATTGTGTCTATAAAATAAAATGCTTGGAATGTCATGCGATATACATCGGACAAATATCGCCATAGAGAAATCAGGGTGATCAGAAGAATTGAACACCGTATAGCCACCACCTCTATTCGACCACAGAGAAATCCAGTTAGTGGACTAGAAAAGCTCTAAAGGAATCACCAGCTATAGTTCATCTACACGATATAGACTAAGGCCACAAAATTGATTTTGACAACATTGAAATAATTCTGGGGAATTTGAAAAATTTTCAAGTGTTGGTTTTGTAGGGATTTGGTTTGATTGTATGGAGGATTTAATCATGAGCTGACATCAGTTAGAGAACCACTGGAAAACCTGGGAGTACTGGACAGCTGTTTCGTCCTAATTTGGGACTCCTCATCAGTACGCACCCACTGGGGTTCTAACCCAGGTCCTTCTGGTTACAAGGCGAAAAATCACACAGAATGTCTAATATTGTCAGAAGCCCCATCATATCCAATGGAATCCGAATTGTCTGATGAATAGGAATGATAGACTAGAACAGAATTTGACCTGGTTGCAACACTCATCTATGCCTCATGAAATCACAAAATCGACAAAAATATGATAAGCAGTTGCAATATGTTGTAATCAAATTCTGTTTTACTAATTTTATACGGTAATCTCAATTATTATAATACAAGTTTTGTATTTCCCAATGAATGAAGGGAGTTAGGTGGTGAGGGGCTTTAGTTATCTGGAAATTGTTCCCCACTGCTGTTGCATCATCATAACACGTTCCGAAAAATAACTTAGTTTTACATGCAGATATTGTTGTGAAATAATTAATATTCATGACACATTCTGATTATTTTCGTTTATATTTTTGTGTTACTTATCAGTAGTTAATTTGTTATACAGTGGAATTTTATCTGCTCATGTGTCGGTTCACGAAGTATCACTTATCCATTTACTCCCTAGTAAATATCAAGCTCATTTTATGGTTGACATACAGCGATAAACTGTACACTTGAAATGGAGAACAAGTTTATCACTCATTTCCTCAACGTGATTTTATATCAAGGAGGGTAGATGGTACTTTTGAAGAGATGAGTTGACAGAAATCTGTCATGGAATGGTCAGCTGACATATGTCTACAGCTCTGAGTACGCCTTGGTCGAAAACGACACTTGATCCGGTCACCTACCACCAATCACATTTAGGGCATATCTATTGATGATGCTTCTGTGGAGGGACAGTTGAACCTGCAACCTTTTTTTAGACAAGATGAGACAGTGGAAACCTATGAAATGTAACCAAGGAAATGTTGTATATGTCCAAAACCAAGTTCACTTTTAACAGTTTGAGAAAATTTTGGTATTGGGTATATGACATTTATTATAATAAAGGTTTTTGTATTTCCCAATGAATGAAAAACAAAACGATATTGTCATTGTTTTCACTGACGTTTCGCTATTTAATGCTGCTCCTAATAGCTTTATCAAAGTACTAATATTAAACGGGAATTTACAAAATCCAGTCAGCATATATATATAACAGAGAGTTAAGAGGTGAGAACATCGACAAGTTAGGTCAAGCTAAAGGGATGTATAGAAAGTCAGAACAGCAATGAAGATCACTAATTCAAGTAACAAAGGGTTATAGTACGTCTGTTATGATATCAAAACAAAGTTTACTAACTTGATCTTCGTTCTTCTGTCTGGGATTGTTTTTTGTTGTCAAGTTGGTCAGTTGGTAAGGATAACAAAACCAGGTGTGTAGATTGTTGGATTCGATCAGTGTGTAAAGTTAAAAAAACAGTGTGTGTTTACATAGTGAACTTGCTTATCACATTCGTGTTGATTTTGTCATTTCGTTGGGGAGGGGATGGAGGTGTTGTAACCATGTCAGATTCTGTTTTAGTCCATCATTCATAT